TCGATTATCGTTCAATTGGGCTCGAAGCAGACGACAATGAATGGCGTTGTAATCAAAACAACAAATAGTTTTGGTCGCAGTGAGTATCGTGTATTACTGAATGGCTTTGGTGCTGAGGTACCAAATTTCACTTAATGTTCTAGTATCTTTGCTGGAAAAGCATTTTATCAGCTTAGATGGTGATGCAAACAGGCCGTTTTGTAAAAATAGAAGGGCGGTAAATCTGTCGTCGTCTCTGGATTTTGCATTCTTTTGTCTCTTATCGTTACCGTTCATGCACACATGAGTTACCAAGCAACTGTCAAAGCTTTTCTCGCTAACAACCGATGGAAATGATGCATCACTGAGTGGTACTTGTAAGAAAATAAATGCCTTCTTGCTCAGCCCTGCATGAGGTGCTACATACGCGTCGAAAAGACGATCGCTAGTAATTTGTGACAAGTAGCTCAAGATCGAAAGACCTGACAAGGAAGAACCCCAGTGATATCAGTAGCATAAGATCCCCATATCGATTTTCTGGACGATGTTAATATTCCTGACATATGTTTTAAAGATTCTTGTGATTGAATTTTGTTTCTTTTATTTTTAATTCTTGGCAGCTCTGGTACTGCCGCAGTGTGAAACTTGTTTCTTCAACCGACTTTTTTGTCAGTTTCGCTTTGCGCACCTGTTATCAATTTTGCCTGCAAAGAAAGATTTCCAAATAGCAGCGTATCTCGAACTGCATGCGGCCGGTACGCTGACAAATTCACAGATATTTGTGAATGACAAAAAGTTAAATGAAATGCATCCTGAAACGAGACGGTATGATTTGAGCAGTCAAATGGAACAGTGGCTGCGGAATAATACGGAAAAGATTCGGATTAAGGTAATCTCTATATAAAGTAATTGAGTCGGCACTCTGTAAAATTGCAAGTGTGTTACTGCTCTCCATTAACAACACATTTGGTTTATTCTTATCAGTCTTTATCAACAATAAAAATTAGAAAGGCTATCAGCTAAAGCACAAGTTTGAAAGTCTTAAGTCTTCAACTAATTTTGTGCTGAAAATCAAATCCTAACAGACACTTTTTGATTTACCGCCGCTTATGGGTAGATGAGACTCAAGCTTTCAATTTTCTTTTAAGAATTGTTAGCCTTGCATGGTTCAGGTGTACAAAAGGTATTGCATGCAGCACCTGGATCAATTCCTTATACGCACTGGTATTCACTGATGAAACTCAGTGATGAAAGAGGCAAAGCAGTATTATGAAATAATACTTCGCCACAGGAACGAATCAATTCCGTATTTTTGCAGCCACGGATCTTATCTGCAAATGCACCGCCCGCGCAAAAAAAAATAGCCAATTATCCGTGATATTCTCACGCCGTCAAATTGCGAATTAAAGCGAATACATTTC